AAATATAAAGCAAAAAAATGAAACCTGCCTTCCACTTAACGTGTTTACAAGGAAAGTGCACGGGGGCGGCATCGGCATCGGCATCGCCATCGGCATCGGCATCGGCATCGGCATCGGCGACGACAGACGCAGGTGATGGCAATATGTACAGACACATCTGTGTCTGTACATAAAAATATAGATAATATATAAGAATAATGAATAAAATAAAAGTATAAAAGGCAAAAAGAGAGAAAACTAAGTCTCTTTCCATACCTGTACCGTATATGTATTGTTGCCGACACAGCGGCAAGTATGAAAGCATGATATTATATTTTATATTTATATTCTTATGTTAAACAACAGAATGTGTTAGGAGAGACAGTGGTCAAACTTCTCAGTATAAGTTAACGGTTTTCATTTGTCATGGATTAGAGTAATATTGCCCTTGTTTTATATTTGCTGAGCAAGGCGAATATTTTAATCGTTATATCCGCCCCCCCCCCCTCTCCCCAACAAGACACTGGAATCGCCTGTACATACCTAACGGTTGACAGCACGTCAGGAATGGAGGTGCAGGGCACCATATAATAAGTACACCTTATGGTAAGCCGAAGTATTGCGGCAAGTGAATGGGAATGTCAAATGGGAAAACGGACTGCGGTTCATTGCAGACTAAAACTCCTGACTTGCACTATATCGGTATACGACCCCCCCCCCCCCCCACCCCAAAGTCACCCTCTCTATGAAACGCGTGGCCCGGGCTTACAAACAAATACAAACCAATCCCTCGCATAAAATTTGAATTTATTTAATGATGCACAAAAATGTGCTTTGCAATTCGTTTAAAATGATGCCAGAAATCTTTACCTGAAATTCATTTCCTGAAAGAAAAAAAAAAAAAAAAATCGATGGACCTTTGTCCAAATTTAAACCAAGATCACTTTGACTTATCTGCAGCTCCTCAATGTCCAATAAAGGTCCATTTTATTTCGTTTCCACAAACAACAACCCCACTGGTGGTGCATACAATTTTATTTACAAGATGCACAACTTTACAACACAAAATGGCAGTATATCGCAGACTTAACAATCTATCTTTCAGTGTAAACTCCCCAAACCGGTGTAAAGAAACCGAGGGTTTGTGTAACTAGGAGTCAGCTCTCCATTAGATTCATACAGATTAGGATTAGCCCGATGTTAGTGGACCAATTTCTAAAACGGTGCTTATTAGTTAAGCCTCCTTTACACTGGACGACGTCCTTTCTGCCTCCCGTAGTAAGACCCCGTATGAGAGTACCAAAAAAAAAAAAAATAATAATAATAAAAAATAAATAAATAAAAATACGTGCCGACAACTGGCGGATCATTGGGCATTAATTTTGCAACCAAAGAGATGCTCGTTCCTCCTTTATGCGACCACAGTGATGCCAGTTTCATGGTCACACAAAGAATGCAGAAAGGACACTGTCCAGTGTAAAGTTTTTTTTTTTGTCTGTATAAATCAATGGGAACCAGACCCTGTACCACAACAGACTCTCTCTCGTACCCGATTCCAGTAACAAGTCTCCCCGGCTTTATTTCTCGATCTCCCTCTCCCCTTCCCCTCTAAACGCAAAGTTCGTCTAGACATCTTAACATTACTATTCACGGTATCCAACCCGACATCAAAATTTTCACTAAAACCGAGTTGGTATATAATGTTCATTTTCTTTCGTGTGCATATCAAACGCAAGCAACAGACATATCTGACTAACAAATCTACCTGAACAAGGTGAATGACCGTAGACTAAAAGCCAGAGAAAATGTGATATTTTGCAACAGGAAATCATTTCACTGTGCAGCACGTCCTATCTGAGGAGAAAAGCACTTCCATGGTTTCTTCAATCGTTCAGCTAAGATTACAATTATTGTTCTCCAACATTCTAGTTTGCCAAATTAGTGTCTGCAAGGAGCGATGGAGAACAATTTTCCTCAGCCGATCGATGAAGAAACAGCTCGCATGAAGACCTCTTCTTTTTTTTTTTGCAACAGTTGCATTGAAATATCCCACATTAAATAAATTAATCACCTGACAAGCAATTAAAATCTTTCAAAAATGATCTCTCTTATTCTTAAACTATAATAGTTGTTATGCATTATTAGAGATCTTGATCTCAAAAATGATGAAATGTCCATTAAAATGCAAGAGAAAAAAAATGCCATTCAAATAGCATATGTCATTTAGTCAATGCATTTACAGATACTGACTTATAAAAAAAGTTATTTCATTCCACTTGGATGAAATATTCCTCCTGTTCAATGAAAAGAAATGGCAGATGTGGTACAACAATAGTAACTTATTCATAGTGGACTACTTCACATTTACCCAAAAGTAGTAGAACAAAAGTTGCAGTCTTAAAACCAAGACCTGGGGTCCCTTTCACAAAAAGGCCTAAGTTCTTGGGCTTAAGACTGTTAAAATCACATCAAGAGCAAGCTATGCAAAGTTGACTTTAGTTTGTGATATTGCTTTAAGAGCTTCATAATAAATACATTTTACATACTTTAAATTAAGAATCTATGTCATTAGAATTTGCCAAAAGTTAAAAAAACCCAAGATAAACTGCCTGGTACACTCTGTTATATACAACTTAGTAAGTGAAGTCTAAGTAAGGTGGAAAACTGACCCAAAAACTTACTCTTGACTCGCCCTTCAAAAAATTGACAGAAAATATCTCAGTAAATTTTCAAATTTGAACAGGCATTGTAGAAGAAGTACGGCAGCTAAAGCTCTGCGTACAAATGCGATATCATGTAAACTTTGGCTTGTCAGTGTAAACAAAATGTACTGAACGCATCACAAACAAGCATGAGAATGCTACGTTTGATACTATGCATCAGACGCTTCATTTTAATTGACACTACAGTGTGTTAACGTTGGGCGTGACAGGAAAACCAGCGAAAAAAACATTTCCTTGAAGGCATTGATTTCTTGAAGGGTTAGTCTACACTTTTTTGAAAAATCTGACCCCAGCCTTCTGTCTACAGTTCATCCGTGAAACCAGCCCTGTGATTATAAAGTCCATCATTCAACTAGTCCAGGCTGTCATTGAAATTCCTTCTCAGTACTTGATCCTCCTCCGAAAAAGCTAGCAAATCCAGCCGGGGCTGGCCCTAACTGACTGGGGTCTTCTGGCATCTGTTCTAATGGACTCACTGGAAGTAGAAAGAAAACACTATCATCACATTGTGTTAGGTGTGACTTGATGGGGCAGAAAACAGACTTGTGAATGCATTCAAAGACACAGCCTGGTGGGACAGAAGTGTGAATGTATTCAAAGTGAGGGGGGGGGGGATTTTAAATCTATTTGAATACACAGGGTACATACATTATGGATAATTTACAACCCAATACTTAAAAGGATAACAACTGTTCACTTTGTCCAAAAAGTGGATTTTCCTGTGGTAAACGACAATTTTCCCATACTTACCAATGGTTAATGAATCTGTGACTACATTCAAAGTTAGTCCCTGTTTTTTTTCTAAAAAGTTTGTTTTTGTAATAATCTCTTTAAGAGATTATTGCATAGTATAGCCATCTTTGGAGGTCACGTGTTCCAATGACAAGCACAAATTTCAGAATAATTACTATAACTGCCCTTTTTGTGGTAAAAATTGAATATATTATATTGTAAAATATATATCTCATACGAAGAGTTGTTCTCCATTTAAGTCAAAATGGTTAAAATTTTCAAGAACTGGTTTTTGCTTTATATGCTCAAAGGTACACTGCAAGCTTTTTTTATCTTCCAAATTGGTGTTTAATTCACTTGCTTTGCCAAACTTACCAGGTTTAAACTGTTCTGCACTCATCTTAGTCATGGCTATACTAACTCCCTCTATTAGAGCTAGTAATACACACCCTACAACGAGTCAATACATAATATTTATATTTCACAAACTAAGTTACTTTTTTTACTTATTTGTTGAACTTTATAATTTCAAATGAAATATAAACAGAAAAAAATAAGGTTCCTTTCTGATCTTTGTGACATAGTATTTCTTTACTCTTGAATTTCAAAATAAAGCATAAGCTATTGGACAACCTCAAACATAGTTTTCCCCCCTAAAAAGATAAACTCACTGATAACTGATCAATCATACTACTTTGACAGAAACAAATATAAAACAACATCGCTCTACAGTCCTCCGCTTATCAAATTCTTAACAATGAAAATAGTTTATGAAATAAGACACCACAAACCTATTACTGCTGAGCCGAACATTGCAGTATAGCCCTCTGAAAAACAACAAAACAAAGTGACTGTGTGAAAATCTGTGTTCAAACCACTACCTAATATGGCTGTAAAAGGCAGTGCATTACTGGCAAAACCATCATTCATCATTATTATTACTATTATAATTATTTAGTTAACTTTTTTTTGTATCCCTGCCTTTAAAAAGTTCAAAGCCTACTTTTAGCATTTGAATTTTCAAGTTTACAAACGAGAATGACGTTGACATGGCAAAGACTTCACTCTCAATGCCATTCGTTTTGAACAGAAGGTTCAAAACATAATCAGAACAAATGAACTATTGCCAGCTTGAACACTAAAATAAAGAAGACAATTATCTGTAACAAACTGTCAAATTTACTCTCAGTCAACAGAACACATGTATTCTTCAGTACTGAAACTTCACAATCCTGACAGCTTTACATCTGCCTCTGAGAGAACTGACAATCAACTGACATATTAAATAGCATATAAAGCGGCAATTGATCCTTCTTAAATACTACAAACCAATACTCACGCCTAAACGACAAAACCGCTCCTGTCACACCTCCACTTATTATGGCGTTCCATGGATCCTCCTTCCCCCGAAGAGCCACCAACGCACAATCCGTGGCTGAGAATGTGAAACCCCACTGAGCGAATGCTCCTGAAAATTATAGTGAACATATCAGATAGCATTATGTGGCTGAGAAAGTGAAACCCCACAAAGTGAATGCTACTGTAAAGTATTACAAAGTGAACACAATCATTACATAAGATAACAATACATGATTGAAATAGTGAAACCATACTATGTCAATGATCCTGGAAATTATACTGAATGATAACTTTATGTGACTAAGAAAGTAAAACCCTGATGAGGAAATGCTCCTGGATGTTTTATAAGATAGCAATTGTGAGGGATGGAATTCCCCGTCCGAGCTCACTCAGAAAAATACCAAGTACAGGGTGGGGGTGGGAGAGCACATCAGGTACCTGCGACTCTAGCCTCCCCCCACCCCCCCACCCAATGACAGGCCCACACTTGTATAAGATAGCAACTGTGAGGTATGGAAATCCCCAGCAGAGTTCACTTGGATTAATACCAGGTATATTTCACACACTTATGGGTGGTTGGGTGGGGGCAAAGGGGGGGGGGGGAAGCACAGCAGGTACCTGCCCCTCCCTTCACTTAAGAGGTAGTCCCTTACCCCCTCTGACAGGCCCACAATGACTGTAACTGACATATTAAATGGATTAAATGGGCTGCCTTTAAAATACAATAGGCCAGCATTAGGAACTTACTAAAGACAGAAATTATAACTAG